GTTGAACTTCTTTCGGTTTCTCCAGCATCATTGTAGGGCATACTTTTCATCTGTCAATACAGTGCACCTCCTCTGGTCTTTTTCACTCTTTCAAATGTACCAGGCCCTTTCCTGCTACAGTGCTACCCCTTCCCTATGCAGTTGCTTTATCCCCTGGGAAATTTTGCCCTCCATGGGATACTTAACAAACCCCTACTCATTTTTCCAGTCTCCTAATTCATAGTACTTCCCTGGGGAAAACTGAAAGTACTCTAAATGAGCTACCCATGAAACTCACTGCCATAACATCTTTTACTTCCGTGTAGCCCAGATCCCAAATATAAATACCTAATTACATTATAACTCCTTCTTTAATGGCTAGGTCTTTTGCTCCAACATACTCCAGTGAAACTACACATTTTGTACTCAAGACTCTATCCCCAAGGCCAATAAATGAACAAATGAAGTGCACCACATATTTTTATACCTAGTTTACAGAATTAGGATTTTAAAGAACGTCTATAAAAAAAAAAGAAGAGAAATATCTTAAATTTAATAGGTCAAAACCCAGCATTTTTATTAAAGCTCTGAGACAGGTCACAGCTAATGGAGATCTTGGGTTGAGAAATGATCACCAGTGCCATCAGTGAAGAAAGTACTGAAGTACTTGGTAAGCCATCGGTAAGTTCCAAGAAGTCCTTCTGGTGGAGATGGTGAGCTTTTTTTTTTTTTTTAAGATTTTATTTATTTATTTGACAGAGAGAGACACAGTGAGAGAGGGAACACAAACAGGGGGAGTGGGAGAGGGAGAAGCAGGCTTCCCGCGGAGCAGGAAGCCCAATGCGGGGCTCCATTCCAGGACCCTGGGATCATGACCTGAGCTGAAGGCAGACGCTTAACGACTGAGCCACCCAGGCGCCCCAGATGGTGAGCTTTTGTTCAGCTTCTCTGAAAATTTTCTGACTATGGGTCTCTCAGGTATTGAGTGAAAAGTTGTCATTTTCTGAATTTTCCTCAGAACTTTGTCCTTCCCCATTTTGGGTTTTACTTTCTCATCAAAGATCTGGAAAATTGCCATAAGTTTCAACTCTTTCTGTATTCCTACAATTGAAGTAAAATTCACTCACTAAAAAATTAGAAGCCCTAATTCAATGGAATGCTTATCATCTTAACAAAAACCAACTTTGAACTAATGATAGAACTATCTGGATCTTTTTTCCTCATGTTAAGAACAACCTTTAAGGAAGCTTTGCTAGGCTTCCTTTTAAAATCTTCTTTAGTTTGGGTGCCTGGGTGGCTCAGTCAGTTAAGCGTCTGCCTTTGGCTTGGGTCATGATCTTGGGGTCCTGGAATTAAGTCCTGCATCAGGCTCCCTGCTCAGCGGGGAGTCTGCTTCTCCCTCTCCCTCTGCCCCTCCTCCCTACTCGTGCTCTCTCTCTTCTCCTCTTCTCTCTCTTTCTCAAATAAATAAATACAATCTTTAAAAAAATAAAATCTTCTTTATTCCCCTTCCAGATGGCTCTCTTGGAAGTGTTGATCAGGTGTGAAAGATAACCTGATTTGTATATACATGGATCTCACCTTATTCTCTGCTGCAAAACATTTAAGTTTTCAAATTTAGTTTTATTTACTCTGCTTAATTGAGAAAATTACTGAACATTTACTATGTGCCAATTCTTACGCTGAGCTCAGTCTATACCAAGATGATTAAACCTCTAATCCTGCCCACAAGAAGAGTAAAATGCAACCTCTACTACTGTAGGGGTGTTCAAGTTGTTAGAATGTGTGTTTGCTGCTTTGTGGCAGCCTCTTTGTGTTAGCCCAGACCACTGTCTTAGCTCTGGCAACGTAATGGTTAAACCACCCTTGCTTTTCTTTGCTATTTTTATATAATTATAAAATTGTTGTCTTTTCTTTTGTATTTGTCTTTTCTTTTTGTAAAAGTGGTCCTAACGCTCCCCACAATATTTTCTATTTTCACTTTGAGGTTTGTGGCAAAACAGGGAAGGGAAAACCTAAGAGAAAAGAAGAGATAACATTTCCTGTATGATTTTCAAGACATCAGAACTTGCCTCTCTCTTTTTCACATTCCTAGAGAGTAAAAGGAAGCAATTATAAAAACGTAATGCACAAAAGGCAAATGGAAAGTAGATGCTGAAAATGAAAGGAAAACAAGTGTCATCTTCTCTGTCCAAATGACGAAATGTTACTTAAACTACACAAGGGATTATGAGCTCTGTAGAGTGGCAGATTCAAACCAGCCTGTGTGAGACAAGTCCCCAGGGAGGGCAGCTGGCCCTTTAATGCAGGCTGTTAACCTAAAGGGCGGGCTAGTTTTCAGCTTTGCTGAATCAGAAAACCCATCTATCTAGATGTTTGTCTGTTTACTTTTTTTTCACAGAGAAGATCATATTCTGAGTGCTTAGTCATACCAACTGATGCTCAAAAGAGACTGGGTTAGGGCGCCTGGGTGGCTCAGTTGGTTAAGCGACTGCCTTCAGCTCAGGTCATGATCCTGGAGTCCCGGGATCGAGTCCCACATCGGGCTCCCCTCTCAGCGGGGAGTCTGCTTCTCCCTCTGACCTTCTTCCCTCTCGTGCTCTCTGTCTCTCATTCTCTCTCTCTCAAATAAATAAATAAAATCTTTAAAAAAAAAGAGAGAGAGACTGGGTTATAGATGGGATGGCCATTTTATTAATGTGTGCGAGGTCAGCTATTACCCGGAAGCTCATAGATGTTAGTCATTTGGATGGAGCACTCCCTGTCACATAAACACATGCTCGTGTTCACATAAGAGATGAGATTAGAAATAAAAATGTTTATTAGTGAGCTGAGAAGGAAGGGAAGGGAAGGGAAGGGAAGCAGATCACTTCAGGGAAACTTCCACCCAGTTCCCACAGTCAGATGGGTTCGCTTTCTCCGTTGTCGCCATGGCTAACAGATGTTGAGTGCTTATTTTGCCCAGGCATTGTTACAGGTACATGACATCATCTTATCTTCACAACAACCCAGTGAAATAGATATGGTTATCATTTCTGTATGACAGAGGAGAAAAACGAGGAGCCCAAGGTCACACACCCACGCAGAGGCTGGAGCTATGACATGAACCCCTGCAGTCTGGCTGGAGTCTACTGGTCTAGCCACTAGATTGGGCCTTCCCCTCTGATGATGTTCTTCCTATCTTAGATTAACACTTAGCAAGTTCTTACCCTCCAATTGCCACTCTTAGTAACCAAAAAGCAACATTTGGGAGTGGCTGGGGGACGCAGTCAGTTAAGTGTCCAACTCCTGGTTTTGGCTCGGGTCATGATCTCCCCGGTCAGGTTGGTCGTGGGATCTAGCCCCGCATCAGGGTCCCTGCTCAGAGCAGAGTCTGCTTGAGTTTCTCTCTCCCTCTCACTCTGCCCCTCCCCACTGCTCGTGCTCTCTCTCTCTCAAATAAATAAATAAATCTTTTTTATAAAGCACCATTCGGTTATTTCAGAGACTTTACAGGATACAGCTCCCTTTTCACTTGCCAAGTTCCAGTCCTGTCTTCCAAATGATGTGTTTTGTTGATCTCTACTGGATCTTTGAAACCCCCTGTTCCCATCTGAAATATTTTCAGAAATTATCCTGGAGGTTAAAGGATCCATTTTAAATAGGTATCGCTTGAGTTGGTCTTAAACTCACTGAAGATATTGTTTGGAAAACAATACTGCAGAATAGATGTTATTCTTACTATCCCTGCTTTCAGAAGACTGTCATCTTCTGACACAGTCCCCAAATTTTAAGCCTCGCTTTTTGGAAAATGTAGTCCCTTTTGTACTTGCTATGGGTCAGAAAGCTCTCTGCGTGCCTCCTCTATGACAGACACTCAAGATACTCATTACCGCCCTCAGGGAGCTTACAGTTTATCAGGGCAATCAGATATTAAACAAATAATTAAATTGATTACTTAATTACAAACAAACAATGTAGTCAAAGGAGAATGCTTAAGATTATGGAGGCAGAACAGTATAGCAGTGAAGTATCACGTATATAATAAATTGTGGCTTTTAGCAAGTTAAGTAACCTCTCTGAAATTTTGGTTTCCTTATTTGCAAAATATAATTAGAGTAATTACCTCATAGGGAAGTTATGAAGTTTAAATTAAATACTGTTTGTAAAACACTTTGCTGAGAGCCTACATATAATTTGAAGATTGCTGCCATTAATATTAAAATAATCTCTATGTTACAGTTTCCATGAAGACGTATCAAGGTAAGCTTTGAATACTATTGCAGCCCCATTAGCCCTGATAGGTAGGATATCACTTGTCAGTGGAATACCTAAGGATATGAGATTATCTGGATTACCATTCAATGACTAAGGCAAAGTTTTTACTGTGAAAGGTTGTACTTGGTAGAGAACCAAGAGAATCACACATAGGCAATCTTGAATCTTTTAGGGAAACCAGCACCTAGCAAAGTGCTTGGCAGACCATAATTTATTTTTGACAAATGATATCTGCAAAATTGTTTTCCAAACAATATCTTCAGTAACCAACTCAAGTGCTACCTTTGAGGTACATATACGACTGAAACTTTTTAAAGGGGGAAAGGTGTAAATAAGGAAAAAAATAAGAAAAACTTAAATCTCCTGTTTTATAAGTTTTTTCATATTTCCTGCTGACCTGGAAAGACCACCATTTCTTACTTAAGTATTTCTCCCTTTTCTGACTTTGTCTAGACTTTTCTTCCCAAGAACAACCTGGGAGGTGTGAAAAATATGAAAAAATATGCTGTGTAAATACTATATTGGCACACATGGTTCGAGTCCCCCATCTAGGTGCTCATGTTAATAAATGTGCATTTTTAATTGACTTTGTAAAAAAAAAAAAAAGAAAAAGTAGAAAGGGAAAGGAACACGTGACAGTGGAAAAACCCAGAAAATGGAAGTTTCTATATTCACTATTTAAAAGGCACTCATCACCCAAAGTTCTCAGAACCTACTGAGACTTCCTCTTCAGGCAGTCCTGCAGAATCCCCCCCAGCTGCCTAATGGCCCTCTCAGTCTCTGTGCTGCTGGCCCTGGTGATGCTGTGCTCCAGCCCTGCCTGCTCTCAGGACTGCACCCTGCATCCTAGCCATGGCAATCCAGAAACCTTCACACTGTTGAGTCAAATGGAGAAAATCTCCATTCTGTCCTGTCTGAAGGATAGGACTGACTTCAGCTTTCCTCAGATGCTTGTGGATGGGAACAAGTTTGAGAAGACAGAAGCCACACTTGTCATGCATGAGATGCTCCAGCAGATATTCAACCTCTTCAGCAAAAGTGACTCTCTTGTGGCTTGGGATGAGACCCTACTGGACAAATTTCTCGCTGGACTTCATCAGCAGGTGGATGATCTGGAGACATGTTTGGAGGAAGAAAAGAACGTGGAACTATTAAGTGAGAACTCCAGACTGGCTGTGAAGAGATACTTCCATGGAATCAGTCTCTATCTTGAAAAGAAAGTATACAGCCACTGTGCCTGGGAGGTTGTCAGGGTGGAAATCAGAAGGTGCTTGTTCTTCATCAATGAGCTCACAGCTAAACTCAGGAAATAAAAAAGATGTTGAGTCTGAAAACTCATCTGGCCAACTAAATGGCTATTTTCTAGGACTCAAAGTGCAATCTTCATCTCTATCTTTATGCCAGAAGAAAAATAAATAATAGCAAATGTATGGGATTATTATAAAGTTATGTTAAATGTTGTAAGTTGTTTAGGACACAGAAATGCACAATTCATCTGCAATAGCTTAAAATCTTTTGCACTTTTTATTTATTTAAATTATTTGAAATATTTGTGCTGTTCATACTTTTTAAATATTTATTGTTCACAAACAATGTGTTTAGCATTATGTGTTGTATGAGACTACTGTTCATTTTTAAGTTATGGGAAATAAAAGCAATTTTTATTTATTTATTTATTTTTAAAGATTTTATTTATTCATTTGAGACACAGAGATACAGAGAAAGAGAGAGAGAGAGAGAGCATGAGCAGGGGGAGAGGCAGAGGGAGAGGGAGAAGCAGGCTCCCTGCTGAGCCAGGAGCCGGACTCGGGGCTGGATCCGGGGACCCTGGGATCATGACCTGAGCCGAAGGCAGACGCTTAACCATCTGAGCCACCCAGGTGCCCCTAAAAGCAATTTTTAAAAATCAATTTTGCTTGCACACATTTTGAATAAAAACCTAACCCAAAGCGTGATCTCACAAAATAAACCTGCAGAAGGTTCCTGAATGAAAAGGGAATAGGGATAGCCCAACATGGCTAGTGGAAAAGCCAATGCTAATATTCATATGAAATTGCAAGTGACTTCGAATTGCCAAAACAATCTTGAAAAATAAGAGCAAAGTTGGAAGGCTCACATTCTTGATTTCAAAAAATACTACAAACTACAGTTATCAAAACCATAGGATACCAGTCATTGACCAATAGAATAGAATTGAGAACCCAGAAATAAGCCTATACATCTATTGTCACTTGATTTTTGACAAGGGTATTACGACTATTTAATGAGGAAAGAACAGGATCTTCAACAAAATGGTGCTGGGAAAACTGGATATTCACACTGCAAAAGAAGGAATTTGGATCCCAAGCTCACATCACATAGAAAAAAAATCCAAAATGGATCAAAGGTCTAAATATAAAAGCTAAATCTAAAAAACTCTTAGAGAAAAACAGAAATAAATCTTGAAGGACATTAGATTTGCCAATGATTTCTTAGGTAAAACACTAAAAGCATAAGTAACAAAAGAAAAAACTAGATAAATTGAACTTCATCAAAATTAAAACTTTTGTGCACTAAAGGACACCATCAAGAAAGTGAAAAGGCAATCTACAGAACAGAAGAAAATATTTGCAAATCATATATCTAATAAGGGTTCAGTATGCAGAATATATAAAGAACTCTTATAACCCAATAATAAAAAGGCAAAAAACCTAAATAAAAAGGGGCAAAGGATTGAATAGAAATTTTTTGCAAAGAAGATACACAAAGGGACAACAATAATATAAAACGATGTTCAGTATCATTAGTCATCAGGGAAATGCACACCAAAACCACAATGACATACCACTTCATACTCACTAAGATGGTTAGAATCTAGTAATGGGAAATAATAAGCATTGATGAATGCGGAGACATTGGAACCTCTACACATTGTTGGTGGGAATGTAAAATTGTTTCAATTTTACTCATCTAATTTTGAAATGTTTCAAGTTCTGTGGCAAACAGTTGGTGGTTCTTCAAAAAAGTTAAACATAAAATTACGATATGGTCTAGTAATTTCACTTCTAGGTATAAACCAAAAAGAATTGAAACTGGATGTTTAAGAAAATACTTGTACACATATGTTCTCAACAGCACTATTTATGATAGCAAAAAGTGGAAACAACCCATTGATGGATGAATGGATAAACTGTTGTGTATTCATGCCATGGAATACTGTTCAGCCATAAAAAGGAAGGAAGTACTGATACGTGCTGCAATGGGAATGAACCTTGAAAACATTATGCAAAGTGAGAAGCCAGACACAAAAGATCACTAATTGTATGATTCCATTTAAATAGCTAAAATAGGTAAATTCAGAGAGAAAGCAGATTGTGGTTGCCAGGGGCTGAGAAGGAAGAGGGTATGAGAAATGATGACTGCTTAATGTGTATGAAGTTTCCATTTGGGGTGATGAAAAAGCTCTGGGGGCACCTGGGTGGCTCAGTCGGTTAAGCGTCCAACTCTTGATTCCGGCTCAGGTCATGATCTCAGGGTTGTGAGACGGAGCCCCACATTGGGTTCCACACTGGGCATGGAACCTGTTTAAGATTCCTCTCTCCCCTTCCTTCTGCTCCTCCTCCCTCTCTAAAAAAAAAGTTCTGGAACTAGATTGTGGTGATGGTTGTACAACATGGTGAACGTACTAAATACCACTGAATTGTATACTTTAAAATGGGTTGTTGATGTAGATGACCTTTTTCTTCCTCTGATCATTTCCCATGTTCACGTCTTCCCTGAAGACTGTAAGTTCCTTAAAGACAAGGAAATACTGGATCCTTTAACCCAACTCAGCTAGTCCAGAACTTTGAACAGAGGAATATTTACATGATTGCTGAGTAGTTGGTCCTTTAGAGTAGTGATCATGACTTCCCCTTTCATAGTGTCTTATCCTGTTTACAGGGCAGTACAGGGAGAGCCTAAAGATGGTTTATAAAAGTAAAAAATTAAACCCATATATATAGTAGTTGTGTTGACACAGTAATCAGAGTTTTTATGAATGCTGCAGTATTCTAAATTTTCTCTAGTGTGCTAGTCTTGTCTTCTCCTTTGGACATGGTTTTCTTGCAGAGGGACCCTTCTTAGCTACTCCCATGGTTTACTGCAGGTCTTGGGCAAATTGCCTAAACCTTCCGTGGCTTAATTTTCATAGTTGTATTATGGGGTTCATAATAATACCTACCGCAGAGGTTTATGAGATTAGATGAGTAATGGACGCAAAATGCCTGGCACAAGGAATCACTCAAAAGTGAGATAATTGTTACTATCATTCTTATTAACTGTGCACATAGTAGTTACTCAGTAAATAATTATTCACTTCTGAGTTTCTTATGGTAATTATTTAAAGAAATTCAGATGCCTCTTGACCTTTGGTTAATGTCTCTACATTTCAGGAGCTGGGGAGAAAGAACTGGTCAAAAATACAGAGAAGCTGGCAGGGAACTTACCTCAAAACCAAAGAACAAAAACTTTAGGGGATAAAAGGGTGTTAAAAGTCTTGCATAGATAACAACAGCAATAAAACCCAAATCTAATTAAAAAATGGGCAAAGGACCTGAACAGACATTTCTCCAAAAAGGATCTACAAATGGCCAATAAGAACGTGAAACGATGCTCAACATCACTAATCATTAGGGAAATGCAAATCAAAACCACAATGAGATGCTACCACACACTTATTAGAACAGTTACTGCCAAAAAATAAAAGTGTTGACAAGGGTCTAGAGAAACTGGAACCCTTATACACTGTTGGTGAGAATGTAAAGTGGTACAGTCGCTATGGAAAAAAGTATAGTGGTTGCTTAAAAAATTAAAAATAGAATTACCATATGATCCAGCAAATCTGCAATTTTACTTCTGGCTATACCCTCAAAAGAAGTGAAAGCAGGTTCTCAAAGAGATATTTGTACACTCGTGTTCATTGCAGCATTATTCACAATAGCCAAAAGGTAGAAGCAACCCAAGTGTCTACTGACAGGTAAATAGATAAATAAAATGTGGTCTATCCATACAACGGAATATTATTCGGCTTTAAAAAGGAAAGAAATATGACACATGCTGCAAGATGGATGAACCTTGAGAACATTATACTAAATGAAAGCCAGTCACGGAAAGACAAATACTGTTTAATTTCAATTATACGCAGTACCTAGAGTCGTCACATTCATAGATACAGAAGTGGAATAGAGTTTGCCATGGGCTTAGGGGAGGGGAGAACGGGAAGTTGTTTTTTAATGAGTATACAGTTTCGGTTTTGCAAAATGAAAAGAGTTCTGGAGGTTGGTTGTACAACAATGTGAATATAATTAGCGCTATTGAACTATGCACTTCAAAATGGCTAAGATGGTGAATTTTATGCCTTTGCATTCTACCACCATTAAAATTAAAAAAACAAAACAAAACAAACACCTTAAGCCTTGCATAGACACACAAACATATCATATCAGTGTGGGTAAAGGCATGGGATTTATTCAGGTTTGAACCAGCGTTTAAATTCTGACTTCCCTCTGATTAACTGGATGCCCTTGGGAATATGCTTAACCTTTTTGGGCAGCCTCAGTTTTCTCCTCCACGAAATGGGAATAATAATTCTTTTCCTGCCTCTCCGGAAAGCACTCAGAGAAGAACAAATCCCCTCCCCTGCGCGTGAGTCCCAGGCCTTTTCCAGATCGCTGTTCCCAGGCCATCCGCCCCTGGCTTGTGGGCCTGCCTCCTCGCCGGGAGCGGCGCAGGGCCCTGCGGCTTCCATCCCAGCCAAGCCTGCTGACTGTCCAAACTCCGGGATTTAGGGACGTGATGTGGGCAGGGGCCTGCGCTGGGGTTCTGGGGGAGGGTGTCACTGCGCTGGGACTGAGGCAAGCTTGACCTCGGAAGACAGCCTCACCAGACTGCAGGGACCTGGGGTTTGCGGGGAGCAGGTGAGGCAGCCTGCGCAGGCCCACTGCTGCCTCCTGCTGGTGCATCCGTGTTTCCGCTGGGGGGCGGGGCGAGAAATGGCGCCAGCCGTCTCCTGTGCGTCCAGAGAGGCCTCTCCAGGGATACTACCTCCCTGCGTCTCCTCCAAGAAGGGCAAATCATCTCCCCACCGCAAGCTACAGGTACTCTTCAGATGGCTGTTCCCATGCTGTCTGTCCCCCGGGGTGTTTGCCTTCTCTCCGGGGCAGGGCAGTGCCCTCAGGGCTCTAGGCCGGCCAAGCCCACCAACCTTTCAGACTCCAGGCTTGAAGCCCTGCTGGCTGCCAGAACTCACAAAACTTTTTTCCCAGCAAATGGCTTTGGGAAATGTTCTCCATGT